TGTGTGTGTGTTTGTGTGTGAGCGAGAGACAGTGAGACAGAAAGAGAGCATAAGCATCACATAGCCAGCTCACTGAAGATCCTCCACCTTTTCTCTCACACTGAATGAATCATAGGCTCTGAGCTATACTGTGTGTGTGTGTGTGTGTGTGTGTGTGTGTGCGAGTGCTTGCACTACGTGTGTGTGTGTGTGTTGAAGATCTCTGCTGTTTATTACATCACTATAATACCGTAATTAGGATTGAGATCAGAAGATTATTTTATGCAGGGTTCATCAATGTCATGCAACTTGTGCGAATGTAGACAATTCTCTTACATTGTACGTTTGTTACATCCCAGCGAACGTATGTGTGTGTGGTTGTGTGCGCTAAGCAGAGATGCGATCAGGCAGGATAACCAGGGTAACCGTCTCTGTAAGCCCACTGCAGTCAGTCAGCCAAGATTAGAAGGCAGAGATGTTGCTGATGATAAATTAACTCGCATGCGTGACCAAGCAGACAAATAGCCTGAAAAACAGTCAAGGTTTATTTAGAACAAAGGCAATGTGAAGCCATGCTTTTCATTTGGCGTATTTGCTCATGATACAACTGCACTTTGCACTTAACTCATGATTTAAGTGCAAATTATAGCACAGACAATCTAACCACTGTGTCTGGTTTTGTTCAGTTGATGTGAAGGCAAAAAAGTAGCCCTTATCTTCTCCCACAAAAAAATTACAGATACCAACAAATGAAATCCATGCTCTGTAATTTAGATGTTAGAAAATGTCATCTGTGCACCTCAGGGTTGGCTGGTATCGGTGATGTGTTGTTCTGTCTGTGACAGTGTCTTGTGGGCATGCCTGTGGACAGACTGTGACAGGAAACAGTTTGTGTGCTGGAGTGATGGAAGTGGTGATGTGGAACAATCTGATGAAATGATTTCTGTTTCACCTCCTCCAGCTAGGTCACAGCATCCCTCGCGGACTAAAACCAATCTCAATAACTTTCTGTCTTTCTCGTTTTGTCTCTCTCTCTCATTCTTTCTCTCTTTTCTTTCTGTCATTTTTATTCTGCTTTCTTTACTTCCGATGCCATCTCCAGTGTAAGACCTTAGCAGGGATATGCGACCACATCATCTCTCTGTCGTCAGACTCTCTGGTCTCTCAGTCTGCCCACCTGGAGGTGGTTCACCTTACCAGCATCATGCCCAGTGAAGGGCTGGTAAGGACACACCTGAGCATGTGCACACATGTATCCAACAGAGCTGTTTATAAAGATGCACTGATCAATATCTTCATATAAACCATGCACCAAATGACTGTGCGAATGGGGTTGCTGGTGGTGACAAACCCACAGAGAGTTATCACCTTACTCTGCAGTTCCCCTCGGCTCTACAGTGTTTTATCATCTTTTAGCTCAGTTTTGGCTTACTTCCCTGCCAAACTCCACCCTCAACAACCTTGTTTCGAGCAGAGGCAGGCAGCTCTGATAAAGACACTAAGCTATCTGCCCAGTAACAGCCGAAAGTTAGCAACTAGCCGGTGAATTTGGTGGAGCATTTAGCAGCTAAAGAGCCAGACATGACTTTAAATGAATGCTAATGTTGCTCCACATCTGCTGGATGTGTAAATAGGCAAATGTTTGCTAACACGTTTGTTATGACAACTTTATAAGGTCATACATAATGTGTCAGTGTTGTGGTGTTTAGCTTGTTACACTGCTCCTAAAATCAATGCAGCTTTTAATCCTCTGGGGCAAGTCCAAGTCAATGCTAAAGTCCCAAAGGATAAATCCAAGTAAAATCTTCATAACTAAATCTTGAATTTTATTTAGTTTTTTACACTAATTGAAGCTTATTGTGTTTTTACCTAACTGGATGCATGGGACTGATAAATAAATATTCAAGGTGTGAAGGTGTATCTTATTCATTATTTTTAGATAGATCAAAACTTGAGACTTAAATGTTTTTGCTTTTAAGCCTTGAGTCAAGTCAAGTATAGGCGAAGACAAGTTAATGGAAATACATGAACAAAAACAACAAAAGCAGATGATTTCATACAGAACTCAAGGGGTCACTGAATGGTTTGAAGAGTATACAATTGACAGGAATCATACACTATAGACTTCAAAGTCATCCCAGTTGAAACACCAGTGGAAGATTTTGGAGCAACATCTTAGACGGCACTCTCTACTACCATCATCAAAACACAAAATGAGACAGTAGAGTTCCAGTAGAGTTCAAAGACTTAGAGAATCTTTGACATTTCATGTTAGTTATTCCTTTAATTTGTCACCTATCTGTGTGTCAAGTCTCAAACGTAAAATATAGATATATATTTCCCTGTGTACTCTAACTGCATTATACTGAATCCTCCTCTGTTTCAGGGAATGTATATCAAATCAACATATGATGGACTCCACGTTATCACCGGAACCACAGAGAATGTGAGTTTTTAGTTTCACTCAGTCAGAAGCTTGACACTCCACCAGACACAATTTATGTTCTCAAATTCCACAATGACAGTGAATCTGTACGTTAATATATCCTGCATTTGATTCCATTATCCCTTCTCCAATTTCTGCCTCTGCAGTCTCCAGCAGACCAGTGTAAGAAGATCCATGCAGGGGATGAGGTGATCCAAGTCAACCACCAGACAGTGGTGAGTTAAAAAGCTTCCAAAGGCAACACTGTAGTCATAAACAATCACAGGAAATGTACTGCATTTCGACTGTGAATACATACTGCAAACTGTCTGTGTTCTCCATTCTGTGCTATGTTGGGGATATGTCAAGGTACATGATGTCTGCTACCACCACCACCACCACCACCACTGCCGCCATGGTGCTTCCTGTCCTGTGCCTGTGTCGCTATGTAGGCTAATTAGACTTGCTGCGGGAGCAGATTATAGGACGATTGTTACAAGACCTTTGTTCAGTCCGGCGTGATTGTTAGCTCACTCTTTCTGGAATTTGTTCCCATTGTCGTATTAAACCCCTGAAGGAGGCGTCTGGTTTGAAATATGAACTCATGTTCCACTTTCAGACTTGAATAAGTTGTATTTCTGCCTTCAACTCATCACATCAGAGGGAAGCACAAAAATGGGCAGCCATTTTAAATGGAACGGTGCCTTGTGAGAGCATGTGATTGAGCGCGCTATTGCCTGCGCTGTCAGCTCTGGCACAAACGATTTGTTCCAGCGTTTATTTGAGATTTCTGAGGAGGAGAAAAAAAAGATTTCTGTTTATGTGTAGACGTCTTTTGTGTGCTTTTCTGCGTTTTACCTCGTACGTCTCGATAGGTGCTGCTCATGCGAAAGTGTGCATGCAGGCACTTGGGAGCGGCGTTGATTGACGCGTGAGGGAGCTGCGTGTTATCTTTCTCCCTCTCTCTCCTCGGGGTGACAGTGCAGATCGCACCCTGCCAGGCTCTCAGCTCCAACCCCTCATTACTCCCACAGCTAGACCCTCACCACTCTGATCCCTCACTCTGGGGGAGGAGATAAGCAGGGGGGATACAGAGGTGTGTGTGTGTGTGATGGGGTTTGGGGGGTGAGGTAGTCAGGGGATGCTGAGAGGAGGCAGAGCTGGGAGAGAGTTGGGGTGAAAAAGGGAGGAGGAAGTAAAGAGGGACTTAGGGAAAAGAGGAAGAGGATGAAAAGAAATGGAGGGGAGAAGGGGGGGGAGAACAGCAGAGGGAAGTCTCCAGTCAATATAGCTCTTTTTTCAACCCTAAATCGAGCTGCTGAAGAGGAAAGATGGATACACACTACCAGCAAACTCTCTGTCAACATCACGGCTGATAAGTTTATCTAGTGAGGCTCCATATTTAAAAATTAGATTAGTGTGAATATTGAATGAACAAATTCCATTACATTATAGAATCATTATGTAGGCCTATCCCACGTATTTAGCAACAGCGCTGCCTTCATGTCTATGCATGAGCTTCTGTTTGAGACCCACTTCAAAACAGGACTAGCAGTTTTTAGCTCAGCTTCTCTTTTGAGGTAAAATGTGGAATTTGCTCAAATAACAAACTGATTGTTTGAAGAGGCAACATAATTATGTGGAGGTAATAGCATCTGGGAAAATAATGAAGACCCTAGGGATTTGAAAAACCTCTCCAGCAGCAGTTTATGCTCTATTATTATTTTGGTAGGTCTCTCCCTGTTTCCCTCTGCTCTCTACGTATTTGCATAACAGAACAATCCTAAACTGGCCTGGTTAGATTAGGCTTTGTGTTTGCTGTTAACATACACTGTGTGCTGCCCACCATTGTGGTGGATCTAACAAGAGTTGAGAAGTTTAGCATGATCAAGTTCCAACTTAGTTCACTCTCAGTTCAGTTAATTCAGGATTTCCCTTTGGCATAAAAATGTCCAACTCCTTCAGAAGTGAATGAATTCTCTGTTTAAGGCTGGACATTATTATATTATATGTATACTGTATATTACTACATTATGTTCAGAGGTCTTGTGTAACATGGTAGATTGGTGGTAGACACCTACTTGCTAGGTGGTTGAGGTGGGTGGTGGGCGTATAAAGTGAAGAACTGTCATACTGGGGTTCAGGGTTCGTGTCTCGACTGTTGCAACAGAGACACTTTAAGGTTAGGAAAGACTGTAATTGTGGTTAGGTTTAGGCAAAAGAAAGCACTTTGGTTGAAAGATTGTGGTTTGGGTTAAATGTTTCTAAAAAACTCAAGTCACTTCTGACTTCTGAATAATGCTGTGGTCACTACAAGTGAATAGTATTGCAAGATTACCTATTTTGGCAGAAAACTAATTAAACACGTTGTCAGTGAACATTTTACTGATACATTCAGTATCAACATTTTTGCCCCCGCAGTAACAACATTTCCTTATTATGTTAATAGAAAACCTAACTCACTCTGCATTACGATTCACTCGAAACATATTTCCTGTTGCAAATTGATTTAATTTCTCAATTTCGAGACAGGACTGAATGAGAAGACTGATATCACTTTCCTATCTTCAATATGAAGCTACAGCCAGGAGAGGGTTAGCTTAGCTTAGCTTAGCGTAAATACTGGAAGCAGGGGGAAACAGGTAAACAAACAAGATGTAATCTGTTAATTAGTGAGCTTTAGAGGTTCTGGTAGGCAGGTTCCTTTTACCTTTTGACAGAACCAGGCTATCTGTCCCCCTGCTTCCAGGCTTCATGCTAAACTATGCTAACCGGCACCTGGCTGTGGATTCATATTAAACAAACAGATACAAGAGTGGTTGATTTTTTCATCTAACTCTCAGCAAGAAAGAAAATAAGGGCATGTCCCAAAATCTGAAACTATTCCTTTAAAAAGGGCTGAAATAATAAATGTTGTCTGAACACAAGCAGCCATTCAAGAACTTTGTTTAAAACTGGAAAATGTCTTATTTAAACTGACCAGATATGCAAAGATTTTTGATGTAGTGAGTGACACATTTATTTTAGTACATACAGTTCGATATCTAGCCTTATTTCTGTCAGGAGGAAAATAATTTCAGTTAAACAGTTTGAATTTATACTTAAATCAGATCACAGATTAATGATTGCAGTCCTGGTGAGTCTCAGTGTGTCCTTTTATTTCAGTGGGCAGAACAGGACAAAACATAAAGTAACTTACTTGTCTTGTTGCTGGTGAACGCTGGCTGAACCCAGATGTCTGAACTGGGCCAAAGAGAACAGGAAACAGGCTACTAAAGGCTGACACAGGCTGGTCATCATTATGTCAGGAATAAGGTCAGAGCAGTTCTGTCTGTGTGTGGGTGAGAGTGGGTGAGTGTGTGTGAGCGTGGTGGCCTCTGCGGACACTTCCAGTAGCTGAGACCCGTGTAGCCAATCAATGGCCTGACGAGTGCTGTGAACTCTGGAGACAGGCTGGCCGGAACCATGTGGAAACACTGCAGTCAGCACTCCTGTCTTACTCTCTTACCATCTTGCTCTCTTCCTTGGTACTCAACCATATTGACTAAGCCACCCTTTATTTCAATATGTTTTTAGACCAGTGGTACTGGGACAGTGTGGTGCATTATGGTAGTGTATAGTTGTATTGGTAGCCACAAAGTGTCAGAGGCATGGCAGCTAAATAGTTTTTATGCAGCAGTTAGGTGTAGCATCAGTAGCCTGGATATCACATGAACCATATTAAAACTAGTAAGCACTCAGAGAACATATACCTTTTTGCCAAAGTTGCATAAATTTGTTTTGAATGGTTTTAATCTTCATTTGGCTCCAGATCTACATGAAAACACACATTGTGATATTTATTTTTGCCTTGATCCTTGACCTTTTGCAGTGCACTCCAATACCCACATACATATGATATAAAGGGTTCACTGCAATGGAAAAAATAACTTATAGAGTGATAAAAAAAAATGCACATGGGAGACCTAGTAGCTCACCAGGTGAAGCATGCACCCTGTTTGCTGTGGCTGGTTCCTTGGCACTGCAGCCATGGTTCGGATCTGGCCTATGGCCCCTTGCTGCGTGTCACCCCCCCTCTGCCCCTTTCCTTTCTTCGCCTGTCACAAGCCAATAAAGGCATAAAAAGCCCCCATATATATATATATATATATACATATATATATATATAATACACGAGACAGACAATTATGCTAATTTGCTGATGGCACCCATCATTTTTGGACATTACCTAAATCACGTCTGGGAATATTAGAGCCTTAAAAGGGACACATTGTGAAAAATTTCAAGTGAGTCAGACTAATGACAACTGAGCTGTTTAAATGTGTCATGTTGCTGTAGTGCAGAAAGGTAGGATGCACACACAGAGAACAAAAAGGGATTCAGACTGGAGTCTGGATTTTAAATATTTGATACCTTAGAGGGCTGTACAGACAGTGGACAGAGTGCAAAAGGGCAAACATTTCATTCCATGTTGGACTTTCTTCAGTCTAAAGTGAGGCATGCATAATGACCCAGACTGACTGACACCTAGTCAGTGATCTAGAGCTTGATTGAACACAAATGAAGCCAACTTCTAATTTCCTGGCATTGGCACATTCTCTTACACATATTGGTATACATACAAATGTTAGCTTGTACACTGGGAAAGGGACCCACTGGTATAGAAAGACAAAAAGATAGAGCCACACTAATTTTTCATTTAAGCCACTGGGGTGTAGCACTTTAAAGGTCCAGTGTGTAACTGAGTGCCCAGTAGTCATTATTACATTATTACACAATGTCTCATCACTACATTATGCCTTCATTTTAATCTCAGCTACACACCTGTGCAGTTTTGTGACCGCATCTTGCATGGTGGTGACACTATTGCGGTAATAAAATCTGCCCACAGACATATAAACACCTGCCAAAATACTGAAGATCACCTCTGCATTAGGCGCCCCAGATGCTTAGAAGTTAAGACACTGACCATGGACTGCATTGTCTCCAGTTTAAGTCTAGTGTGGAGACCTTTGTTGCATCTCTCTTTCCTTCGTTAATAAATGATAAATGATCAGTAGCGTGTGGTGTTTTGGACAGGTAGTATCAGGACCCGTGTGTGGTGGTTCGCAGCAACAGTTTTAAAAGCTTAATATCTGTGCGTGGTGGTTTTCCTTCCTCAGCAGATTCGGTCGCTCTCAGTACATCTTGTGTGTGTGTGTAGTGGTTTGCAGCAGTTGTTTTGGTAGCCCGATGTGTGTGCTCCTCAGGTGGGCTGGCAGCTGAAGAATCTGGTCAACGCTCTGAGAGAGGACCCATGCGGAGTCATCCTCACGCTGAAGAAAAGGCCCCAGAACACCCTGAGCTCCACGCCGGCTCTGCTCAGAAACGTCCGCTGGAAACCACTGGGCCTGCAGGTAAACACCAGCAACACATGGACGCCCTTAACTGCAGTATTATTACAAGCTATTCTCCACATCCTGACCTGTAAAAAAGCGCTGATTCAATGACATGCTGCTCTCCAAACATTATTTCTAACAGATTTCTAACAAAGAAGCAAGAAATTGAAATTTGAAGTCTCTTCTTGTACTTGCACTTAGTTACAGTTAAGGATTTGAAGTAGCACTATGTACAGTAAGCTGTGTTGTACCTCTGGCTTTATCTTTGACTCACTCTCAGCTTTTGTTTTTTACTGCCCACACTCTTTCATTCTCCTACTGGCATTTTAAACAAATATTTTCAAAGAAAACCTGTTCACTGTTCACTTGACCTTGTATCAATCCTCCTGTTGAGCGTTTCAACAAATCTCTTATTTTTTATAGCCTGCTGTACTGCTGGCACAGTTCAAAGCCATTCACAAATGTGTTGGTAGCAAAGCCTACACCTGAAGAGAATTTCTAAAAAGCATATTTAGATTGCAATAACTCAAAATTGAGATAGTGGATAGAAGGATAGAAAATAGCAAATTAAAATTTCTATTTGCGCTTCATAGTTGTGTTTATAAAATGGCCTGAACTTCTGCAGGAGCTAGTGCAGGGCAATACAAGGTCACCAAAGGGTCCATCCACACTCCCACTCACATTCATATTTATTGAGGCTTCGGTCCTGAATTGTTCAACCTCTCAACCACCTCCTTTTCAAAAGAAAGTTCATTTTTAATGTACAGTATATCTAAAAGTAGGAATGCTTGTTTGAAGCCTTACAGCTCAGAGCGGGTATACACTTTTCAATTCAGGGCAAATACTTGGTAAAACCGTCATTCACTCAGAGTCCAGAAAAATAACTCAAATTTTGGTGCACAAAAAGACCAAGAGATGGACAGAGGGGTGAGGTAAAGGCTATGACTGTCTGGTTTCTACATGTCTGTGAGCATACATGTGTACAAGTATATGTAGTGTTTTGGGCATATGGTTTCTATATATAATCCTGTAATAACCATAAACCCTGCTGCAACTTCATCACCATCTCTGTCTTTAACACGGTTGCTGCCTTGTTAGATCATCGCTCTAAGTTGTTACCACAAGCTTATTGTTATATTTGCTGCTTGCAACAGCAGAGGATTGTGGGAATTCTACCCTGATGGGCTGCTAAGACACAAACGCGCCGTGAGCGCCCAGATCAGAGTGCCGAGATATCTTCGGGAGAAGAGAAGAAAGGAGTGTTTTAGATTTGTTCTCTCTCAGAAAGACTGGAGCTCTTAATTATTCATAAGCAACTACAGGCAGCTCCACTGGCTCTGAAACAAGAGCCGCTACTCAGCAAATACTGGAGATAATGCACTGAATCCAAAATATCCTGCTAAACAGCCTGCATGTCCGTGTGAGTGTGTGTGTGTGTGTGTATGTGTGTGTGTACTTGTGCACACATTTCTAAGCATGGCCGTATGCATGCTTGTCCATCTGTATGTGTCAAAGCAAGTGTGTTTCTGTTTGGGCACGCATGAAGAGATATGTTTTCCGTTATCAGCCGCGTTGCTCCTTTGAGAGGTGAAGGAACTGGGTCACTGCTCTCTGTAAGCTTGATTTTAGATACAGACTGTATGTACACACTCCCAAAACAAACACACATACAAACACATGGGCACTCATACCTCTAAGCCTGGCTTTAGAGGATGAATTGTACGGCTGTGAAGTTTAGCCCAAATGTGGCAAATGTTCAGCTGGATTATAACTGAATCCACAAAGGAAACAATTTATCTTACAAATTATCATGTGATTCCAGCCCCAAATCCCTCCATGGCAACCTCTTTTATTCTACTAAATAACAACACATCTCTCTGTCTCTCTCTTTCTCTCTTTCTGTGTGTGTCTGTGTGTTTGCATGTTGTTTCTGTCTCGTCTTACAGTAGGATGGAGTAAAAGCAATTCAATGATCTGCTGTAATTACAGTGATGCTGGCAATGATTTTAACAGATAAGTTGAGGATTACTGTGATGCTGCATATCACACACATGCTTGCAAGCTGCGCTTCGGCAAAATGTGTATGTAGGGCATAATTTCCTGTGTGACTTAAGGCCACATAAGCGTTCATATCACAGTTCACTTCACCGGTCACACGTGTGCCACACATTGTCCGTGACCCTGCTTTCATAAATATGTTATATGTTTAGATACATAAATAATTACTCTTTGAGAATGCATGCTATTTTAGGCAACATGTATTGGCTATGTATTATTGATGGGCCAACTGAATGGTTGGGGGTTATAGCTTCTTTGACGTCTTATTTACATTTTTTGGTCTATTTTTGTGCTAATGGCAGCGAATGCAACTTAAAGCTCCAGTGTGTAACATTTAGGAAGATCTTTTGGCAGAAATGGAATATAAAGGTATGTTTTCAGTAGTGTATAATCACATAAAAATAAGATTCTTTATTTTCTTTTACCTTAGAATGAACCGTTTTTATCTTCAGATGAAGCGGGCCACCATGCTAAACTGCCATGCTACAGTAGCCCAGAATGGATATTTTTCTCGCATTTCACATTTATTTATTATATATCAGTATTTGACTACAATGTTCTGTAATAACCTAATTGAATGTATGCAAAACTTGAATAATAATAATATTATTAGTAACACCTGTTATTTTCCTTCTAGTCAAAATGTCTGCTGTTAAAAAGGCCTAATATATATTGAAAACTGCTACATGTGTAAATATTTTTACTTTTTATTCATACTGTTTTTAAAGTCCCTTACATAGTCAAAATATTATATGTTAAGCATATTCAAGTGTGTGTGTGTGTGTGTGTGTTAGTGAGTTTTTCATGTGTGCTTGTAAAGGTGGTGGGGATGGGAAACATTAGTCTGGGGAGGATATGAGCAGTAGATTTTAAGGTAGTTTGGAGTGGACGCAGCAGGGGTCAAATGGTTTAAGTGCTGTTTTAACAGACTGGAATTTTGCCTGCTGTGGAGGTCCCATCTCTCTCCACTTCTACCCCCATTCCCCCCTCCCCCCTTCCCATGCAGGCAGCAGTGGGCTGTAATCACTAAATTACTGTTTTCACTCTCAGCTCCAGTCATCACACTGCACAGCTCCCCCGCCTCACTCTCCCTCTCCTGCACTCTTTCTTTCTGTCTCTCTCGCTTTGTCCTATTTCCTTTGCTCTCCCCGCTCTCTCTCGCATCCCTCTCTTTCCACCCTGTCTTCATTATTTATTGTGAAGCCGTCTTACTGTAAGCTGCCTTCATAAGAGGAAGACTGTGAGAGAGAAAGAGATGAAGATAGAGACAGGGCCTGGGGATGGAGGTAGCGAGGGTTGTGGGGAGGGGAAGGGGGGGGTGGGGGGGCAGAGGAGGATGGAAAGTTTGGAATATGAAATGAATTCGCCTAATGCACTGCTGATGAAATGATGAAACACTGTGCTTTCTTAATGAGAGTGCTGCCTGCCTCGCCATCACTCGGGCTCCGTGTCTGTTTATCCATTCTGTCCACACTCCCATCTCCTCTCTAAAATGGAGCGTCCTCCTCAGACATACAGTAAAACAACCCATTTTTCAAAATCTGGAAACCTCGTCCTCGGGGAGAAATTGTCTGTATGAGCTACGTATTTGTCACCCCAGCTGTTCCGGCTGTGAACAAATATAATTCACTTGAAATTTGGACTGAGTTTCCATGACATCAGAAGCGAGGCATCCTGTCCTCACAGAGGACCTGATGACAAATGAATCTACGTGTCCTTGAGTCAAGCTGAGGCAGGAGGCCACGCTAGCTTTCCTCTGTCCTCTCCTTCTCCTGTGTAGCACGGGAGAGGGGTGAGGAGAGTGGGGAGGAGAGGAGAGGTTGTCATGGGAACAGACATGGAGAGTCCTGTGTGAGTGAAGAGGCTTGAGACAAAATGACAGAATAGCAAAGCGATTGAACGTGGGAGAGGCTGCACAGTCAGACAGATATAAAAAAAGACAACATACACAACATGGCAGCTCGGTGGAAATAACTCTCTTGTTTGTGATTCAGTGTTAAAACGAGTGCCGGCTGCAGTATAAGGAAGATATTACAAATAAAAGGTTCCCTTCCCTTGTAACACCGTAAACTGTGTGCTTGTTTGTTTTTCTGTAAGGCAGGAAAAGATCTGATGCTCAGTTTTTGCAGGTTGTGCTCCGAGAGCCCCTCACCATCTTCCAATTATAATTCAATAAAAAGGTGCTAAAATAGAGTCATTCTCTCCTTCTTCCTTTTGTCTTTCTCCCTTCAGCCGGTCCCCACCAGCCCCACCAACACCTCTCCTACACCCGTTGGAACTTTGGGAATGTCCAAAATGGACGCCCCCAGCATGCAGGACGTCTATATCCTCTCTCCTGTCTCTGGACTCTACAGCACCAGGTCAGACACTTGCACACACAGATGTTTGATGATGGTGATTACGTTGATTATTATGATCCTGTTGATGACACTGATGACAGTGATGAGGACAACTCCGCTCTCCCCAGGGAGGAGCTGGGTCTGATGTCATGTGACGACATAAGCCGCTACAGCGTGGGCTCCCAGTCCGGCTCCAAAGGTTCAGAAGCAGTCAGCTACTACCTGGACCAGGACAGTGGTCAGTTCTTCTCCCTGCTAGAGGGAGACGGGCCCCCAGGGCCTGACTACGACAGGGGCCGCAATACGGGGGTTCGCCGGCGGGACAAGACCCCCACCCATGGTAAGACTGAGAGTGCAGTTTGACAGTGTGAATGGGGCTCTAATGGCTGTGTTTGTTTTGTGAAACAGCATGCTCTCTCCCATCAGTTTTCTCACCCTTTTTTCTCAGAACTCCTCCTTATGTGTTCTTCACTCACTTCATGGCTCTACTCCTTTGTATCTTTACCTCGCGTGAACACGTCCCAGAAACACTGATCACATGCCAAAGGGTCAGTCCACAAACACTGTCTCCAGCTCCCTGTCTGCCCCACCTGTGTCACCCTTGTCCAAGACGACTTCCTAGACATCCTGTGCCTTCTTGGGAAACTCTCACAGGGCCTATGATGTGTGTGATGTGTGTGTGATCAATGGAGTAGTGCCACACAACTGGACTTAGGAAAACATAGCCTGTATTGAGTTAAGTTTTGAAAACCACATTTAAAGCCACGCAAATCAATGTTTTTGTATTAAAAAGAAATTGGGTCATTGACAATGTATAATGTATAACAGTCTGTGCAGGTCTACTGAGCTTTTGGGTCTCTTTTAGCTTATTGTTTTGTTTTTTTCCACCGGCAAACTCTGCTCTCGTTAACTCTGTTTTCAACCACAGCAGGAAGCTATTATCAATAAAAAAAAAGCTCTTTAAAATCCACTGTATGCTACCTGCCTAGCAACAAACCATAAAGACGACTATCTGGTAAACATAATGGAGCATTTAACCGCTAAAGAACCAGATATTTCCCACAGGAGCTGGTGGAGAAGCAAAACAGAGCTACAAAGAGAGTTAATATTAGATTTACATTTGTTGGGTAGCTTCAAATTCACACTGCTTGGTGTGTAAATAGACAATTGCTTTCTTACTCTTTCACCAACAACTTTATAATGTGACAATAGATTATGTTTTCGGCTGATTCTGCCTCTGCCAAAAAAATCTACCTATGTAGCTTTAAGGATACCTCTGATACAAGATCCTTTTAATTTCTATACTATAGTTCCACTACTACACAGTTTGTCTTTAATGTGTGGTCCAGTGGAGGACTACCAACAACTCTATGCAGATTTCACAATACCCAGCCGGAGAAATCTGACAATGAAGAAGGCACAGCTCTAGCACAAAGCAATAATCTCAATCACACATAAACTCATAGCCTGTGTGATCATGATCTACATATAACACAATGTGAACACAGCCTGTGTAGCGAAAGCAGGACATTAGCAGAGCTCTATCTACACAGGATGCATTTAGGCACAGTATTGAGTGTTAGGTTACTTGCATTTTGTGTGAACGTAAAACTAACTTGACATTATAACCTGAAAATAAGGCCACGTGACCTTTGTCTTGCCTTGTCATAGCAGTCCCTCGAGAGTCCCCCTTTTCTTCCCCTTCACCTGCACACACTTTGTCTCACCTGTCCACCCCTCCAGCTGTCTCCTACGCTGTCTCTTAGTCACCGCCTTCCTACGACACCCCCACTTCCTCCCCCTAGCCGACTCTCTGACTGCTGATTGGTCGTTCCAGGTGACCTCAGGCCTGTTTCCATGCCTCCCGAATATAACTGGATGGCCGAGGCCAAGGAACCCAGCATGGGCAAGAGAGGGAGCCGAGGTACACACACACAAACACACATGCAAGCAAAAACACAGCCCCTCTCACACTTAAACAAGAACAGGTCGGACTGGTGCCGTGCTTTGCTCCATACTCAACACATTTCAGCTCATCCTCTGGTTTATCCATGGTGGTGTGGTTGTGTGAGGATACATATCTGCCAGGTATGTATCTGACAGAGCAACAAGTAAACATAAATGCAAGAAATTGCATTTATACAGCTCTGGAAATTAGGGTATTTCTATGTGACCAATTCTTACCAGCTTCACCGTTTTGCGGCGAGACTCGCTTTGTATTCGACTGAGGTTCCTCCACTCTACCGTCAGAAAGTCCATGAATAACATTAAAGCACAATACTTCTGTCAGGGGTCTGCCTTTCTCCTTCTCTTTCTCTCAGTCACTTTTTAGTTTTTCACATTTAAGCATATGGATAATAAACAAATTAGGTGAGAAGCTTTTTTTTCCTATGTGTAGCTTAAGCAGACTAAAACTTTCTGTGACTGAAGATTTAGCAGTAGTGCCCTCCAGATCAGCATAATCATTGCAAATAGATTAGCTGTATGTCTCCGGCTGTGGATCCATATCAGATACTACAGCTCTGAGGCACTTTTATCCCTTTCTGTTGGGTTTTTATCTGGAAGGGTCTATTCCCCCTCATCTGTTTCTACTCTGGAGTTATCCCTCGACGACTCTTCTATCTCCCCCTTTGTGGTTTCCCTCCTTCTGTCATCCGTTCCGTTGAGCCTGTCCATACTCTAACTGCTCCATTCCTCTACCTCCCCCTCATCCCCGCAGATTCAGACAATTCCCTGCTGCGTTACCTTAGCGACGACAAGATCCTGGTAATCGAGGAGGAGCCCGAGGGTCCGGGCAGAGAGAGCCGGCGGGATTCAACCAGACGCTCTCGGCGCAAGAGCCGCAATCCCAGCAGCCCCAGCTTTCCCATCAGCCCCTCCATGCTGTCCTCCACCCTGCGCCTAGACCAGCCACCTGATGCTTTGCCTGTATGTACACAGTCCCTTAAATATCTCAGTGACATATATTAATTATTTTATGTACTGAATTTGTTTTCCCATCTATTTTCTTGGGTGATATGCAGTTATTAATGAGTATGTATAAGTCAAATGTTTTGCGCTGCTGCCTGCTTTCAAACACTTATAAAGTCATCATTAGGTTTAAATATACTGTACATATTTTTTCTTCAGTTTGGTAAAAAAAAACAACACACGTTTTGTTTCTGTGACTTATACATTCTCATATAGGAAATTATTAATTTGTTAATACTATAATACAATTTAGTCCAGTGGTTCCCAACCTAGGGGCCAACCTCCTGCAGAATGGGGTCTTGAGATGATTAATTATTGAGCACTTGTTTCTTTGCTTTTTTTGTGAAATATTGGTTAATTATTACCTCTGTGGGCCTCAAATAACTATTTAAATGAAAGAAATGTAGTTATTTAGAGTGGAAATCTCTCTTTATTCAAACTGCTAATTACTCATAGACATCTGAAAAGTGACGAGGAGACCCAACACTGCTAAACACTGCTTTTATGTAGGGGGTCACAAGCAAAGATTTAAAGCCAAGATGTAAAGCCAAGATAAAGATATCTTTAACATTGCAGTCTATTTTTAGAATCTTATCACATGTTTTTTGCAGGTTTTGCTGCAGGTCATACTGTGACATGTCAAAATGTCTTCAGTGAAAAAGACCTGTTAGTGGCAGTACAATTGTGTCCTGACTAGGTGACTGTTTCACCTAGCAAAATAGAATTACCTCACTCACTTGCTCACACAACTTTCCTTCGTCTTACAGTTTATGTCTGTGTCCTCTCAGAGGGGAACTGTCTGTGGTTGCAGGATAGGTCATGCTGTTCACAGATTCACACACCTTGTTGTTTGTGTCAGGTAGAGGAGACAAAGGAGAGTGAGGATGATCATTGTCATTACACGGCTGCCAGCTTCATGGATTACGAGAGTGACAGTGACGCTCTGAGACACACCTCTCTGTAACTTTGCGTTTTCTCTCATGCCCCCGCCAGTACGTGCACATGCGCACACAAAAAGCCATACACAAACAAACACACACACTAGCACACAGGAGTGCATTTGTATGCAGGGTAGCCATCCCACGACTCGTCCTAACTCATCCTAATATCCCTATCTCCTCAGACACGCCTGAGTCTAAATAGGAGTTTATTCTGGACAAACACACACACACACACACTTGCACGCGCACACACACAAACCCGTATCCCTGTGAGCAGGTGTATGACTCAGCATCAGCCAGTCCAATTACAAGCGCGACTGACAGACTATGCTTAAAACACGACAAACACTAACACACACACATACACAGTGCGCTAACAGCTTAGCTAACACCGGCCCTCACTCACCCTCTCAGCTGTGTGTCTCTCATGGTGGTGACTCATATCTGTTCGGCGGCACATAAAGTGTACTATCCTGCACTAACAAGCATACGCTAACCTTAATGACCTGCTTGTTTTCTCTCTCATTCTCTCTGTATGATTCTTTTCTATTAACACCATTATTTTAGTGACAAAACATGTTATTTGAACTCACTGATGGATAATTTCAAGTGAGGTTTCATGTCTTTGTTTAGCTTCATTTTTTTCTGTCCACAATTGGAGCAGAGATTATTTTTGTAATACCCAAAATGTAACTGTTTGAAAATTCAGTAAAAAAGATTTCATTGGGAGAATTATAGTGGTGATTATGATGATTTATTTTCTTGTATCACAGCAGCCTCCATTTGCAACATCACAGAAACGACATGAATTAGGACAAGAAACTAAGATGCATACATTTAAGATAACATTAAAAACACAGAAGACAATATTTAAGGCCCTTCAACGTGCATTTGATCTGGGGTCAAGTGCCATATGTGAAGCAGCTGGAATCCTAAAATACAGTTATAGTTGTAGTAATAGTACATGTACTGTATCTTTTTTATTTCAACAAATTTAATTTTAAATTAAATCATAAAACAAGAAACACTAAATGTGCAGTTAGTACGACACTGCTAAACTAGTCCTTGAGTTGAAAAGTCTAGCACTATTTTTCTGTTGTCCTCATGTTATACAGTCTTGTAACATACTAATAAACTGCACTGATTGGACTTGTTCATATTGTATTGAACTGTATTTTAGTTTTGTGGTATTTTTATTTATTCACTTCATCACATAAAGCAACTTTGAGCATCTAAGAAAACGCTCTTTAGTAGAAGTAGTAATAGTTGGATAAGTATTGTGTGGCAGAGGAGTAATAAAGAGACATTTCTCCTAATTTAAATAGCTAAAAACTATTTTTGTATAGTCTTTAAAGAGGGTAATCATCAATTTACTCATTGGACCAACTATTACATGGGTCTTTAATATGACAGAAAATATGTCAAAGTAGTCATCTGAATTTCAGATATGGATTAGAAACACAACCAAAACCTAATAGTGTGCATGTGAGTTTGGTTTTAAACACAAATGAGGCATAGAAATACAAAAGAAACCACAGAACATGTCCTGTACAGAGCACAGGCAAAAGCCACAGCCACAGAACATGATATACCAACAAAGGTGCACAGAAGAAGTGTGTATGTGTGTGTAGCCATGTTGGTATGGAGGGTTTTCAGGAGCACTTTAATGATGTCTTCTTTTCTTCTGTACTCAGCGAGGTGCGGACACGCTGCGAGCAGACACAACAGACAGGTGAGTTTGTGTTTGTGGTTGTTTGTGGTTTGACCACATGCTTGTGATTGATAGAAGGAGTTGTAGGAGTCATTTGTGGTTACATTCAATCCTGTCTGTCCTCCTGCAGGTACTCCGGCTCAGGAAGCTCAGGAGCGGCCTCCATGAGGAAGGTAGGCAGACTGCGAGATTGAATGTGTTTTTCTTAGATGTTTTATAAATCTATGAATACTAGCTCTGATTTTGGAATAATTCTGTCTTTCCAGTGCAATTTGATTCTGACTCAAAGCCCAATTTAATGAAACAACGGATGCATCAATCTCCTACCAACCACAACCGCAGTTACATGGAGATAAATTGTGTCCAAATAACCGCCAGACAAGAATAGGAGAGATACCTGAGATTAAATCCATTCAGAACTGTAATAATTAAATAAAAGATAACAGTCGGATGAGGTAAATTGCTTTCCATATTTAGGTTACTGTGACACAGGAAGCTGTCTTAGTCATTAGCCCTAGCCTCTCCTCCAAAGCACTACGAGTTGTAGCATACAGTGAGTCAGCTCAGTTGAATATAAACAGATATTTATTCAGCTTTGTTACCTATAAATAACCTGTGGGTATATACAGCTATGTTGATCTTGATACCTATAGAATACTTGCATTAGCATATTTGAGATGCATCAGCTAGTGTAGTATTCAGGTGTGTTGGCTGACATAATCCAAACACAAAATCTGATTGTGAGAAGTGAGACTATGCAACTTTTAAAGAGGAAATATTCAGTACACGCAGTGGTTTTGCTGCTACAGACCACACGTTTATGGTGGCTAATGCTAAAGTTAACTAACTAACTTTAGATGACTAATTGCTGTATGAAAGACATTACTGAGTAACTGAACAATTTCATTTATCATTATTGCAGGCTTAAAAAGAATCTTCACTCTCCAATTTTGAAAAACTGTAGCCCTTACACAGTGAATAAAAGAAAAAGGTTTTGACATTTCATTAACTAAAATGTGTAGCTGGATGTACTACCGAATGGCAATAGCTGTGGTTACTAGTCTTGAGTCTCCCTAAGCTAGCTATGGATTCCAGATACTAAAAAAGAAAAGTCTTGGATGAAAATAGAGACAGATTTGTTTGCTTTCACTATGCTTTTACCGCTGGCTTACTGGTATGTTTGATCTGCAGCAAGAAATTACTGTGGCATTATAAAGCTCAAATACGTTTTCCAGCTCCAGACAGATTTGTCTTTTTTTTGGCCAAAAATGGCTCTTTTGATAGTAAAGGTTGCTGACCCCTGTACTAAATGTAGTAGCTAATGTGATGCAGTTCATGACATCCTAACATCACTGAGGTTTTAGTCTCTGTGCCGACAGCTTTCAGTTCTCCATCACAGGTTGTAGGTCACTTCCTGGATGTAGCGGTTTTAGTATTTTGATCCCTCTGTGCCTGTAATCCTCTCTGCTGTGTGCCTGATAAAATGAAAATAAGCTAAACATGGAGAGTGAACTGCGTGCAACCTCTCTACGTGCATCAATTTGCCTGAATGTGTCTTTTTCAATCACTGTTTTTTGGAGCTAATATATTTTTTCTCTCTCTCTTTCCCCTCTAGTCTTTCCATTACACCTCTCTAAGAACGAAAACCAAAAAGCGAAGTAAAGGTAGAGACGCTATTGCATTTTCTCTTTGTATCTTCTCGTGTATGATCTTTACAGTTTTACCACTGTGTGTATTCCAGTGTATGTAGCTCCAGAAAGAGTGAAACCTTTACCCTAAAAATGTGTCTCAATCTGAAGGTCTGATCTCCAAACTCAGCCTGACAGACTTTAGGTGCTGTGACTGGCATGTGCACTACGTGTGACTGTTATGTGGATGACAGGGCTTGAAAATATCAAAAGGAAAGTTGAGACAGGCTTGATGATATAACACAATATTTATGTATGTGAAAAGTCCAGATGCACAGGTGCAATAACACAGCACTTGCAAAATATAAAATTCACATTTACACACTTTCTTGCAAACACCTGCCACACCTGATTGATTGTTTATCTTTTTTGGATGCTCCTAATTTATCACTGTCACTAGTGTAATACTCTGAATATTCTTCAGCTTTGCAAGTGTGTAAACTTATTTAGTTTGGAAGGATTCAGTAGTTCACATTGCTTGCTGATTGCTTACTGCAGATAGACAGTAGACATTAGACATAGCCTGTTGTTGCCTGACTTGGATCGCTAAATACATGACTTCACATCTACTTTATGTACTAGTATTTTTCTTAATTCAGTTCCAAATGCCATGAAAATTACTGTCAGCATTAACATCGTTCTTTCCCCTCTCTGCAGGTTCCCTCACTAGCGCCAGTCGAAGGAGAATTTCCTGTAAGGACCTGGGCCACGGTGACTGTGAGGGCTGGCTGTGGAAAAAGAAGGATGCTAAAGGTTACTTCACCCAGAAATGGAGGAAGTACTGGTTTATCCTCAAAGAGTCCTGCCTCTACTGGTACACCAACCAAAATGTAAGGAATCACATTCAACTATCATTATGTCCTGAATCTCATTATCTGAGGCAAACTCCTCCAGTGTTCGCAACATGCTTTCTCCCTGCATCTTCATTCAGCAACTTTGTTGACAAAACTAATGTACCACAGTCAGATTTTACACATAAAGATCAGTCAACTTGTAATGGGGAGTATAACTTGGTGTGTAAAACAGCTGTATAATGCCTTCTGTGACTCTGAATGGAGCTTTCTAAAGTCAGAGAAAATAACCATTCAGAACCCACTGTTGCTTTTCATGACTCAGAATATGATCAATTACAATTTCCAAGGGCCCATGGTAATGTCACAAAATGTCTTGTTATGTCAGACCAACAATCCAAAAGCCAATAATATTCAATTTGGCTGTTAATTCTCACATTTGTGAAGCTGGAACATTCAAATGGCTGTCTGTCTGTAATCTAATAGATTAACCGTTGCAGCTCAAATTCAATCAATCAATCAATCGAACTTTATTTGTATAGAACATTTCATACAGATTAGTGCAGTTCAAATTGCTTCAAAGACGACTGACAAAACAATAATAAGACATAATGTCTTATTCAACTTACTGGTTGAGCTTCAAAAATGTTGTGCCACCCATACATTAATATCTAAATTGCACTTTAAAAGGGAATCAATTGGACCTGTTTTATCAGGAGACATGGCCACATAAAGCTGTGTGTCATCAGCATAACTATTGAAAGAGATGCAATGTCTCCTGATGACATGGCCCTAAGATCAATCCTTGGGAAACCCCAAAGGTTATTTTGGAGGTTTTTGACAAGATTATTATTGTAAATTGTCAGAACAAACTGTCTACCAGAAAGATAAGATGAAAACCAGTTAAAAACAGTTCCAGACAGTCCAATATGATACCTGAGTCTATTCAAAAGAATTTTGTGATCAGCTGTATCAAAAGCAGCACTTAGATCAAGAAGTACCAACACTGAAGGTTTATTTGCATCACGATTTATGCTGATGTCATTGGCTACTTTCATAAGGGCTGTTTTAGTGCTATGATTATCTATAAAACCAGACTGAACAGACCTTTCCAACTTGTTCTTTAAATAAATACAATTGATTAATTGATTGTATACTATTTTTTTTTTAAATTTTTGCTTAAAAATGGAAGATTGTCTGTAGTTTCTTGGTATTATGGGATCATGGCTACTTTTCAGACTGTCAACTGAGGAGGGAGTAAATGTAGTTTTGTTTCTGGAGATATGTGCTAGGAAATTTGAGGTCACTTCAGGAGGAAGACAGCATTTTTAACCCCTTGTTCCGCAGGAGTTGTTGCAGTATAATGAAAGACATTAAAAATACACAGTGGTGGTCTGAGAGAGCCAGGTCAACAACAGAAGAAACCTTTATGTTCATTTGTTGTGCCCATATGAAATTACCAGGTCCAGTTTGTGACCTAGATTATGTGTGGGCTCATTAACTTGGTTTATAAAATGAACACATTCTAATAGATTTAAAAAGTCCTTCACTTTGTTGTCTGTCTTATTATGGACATGTATATTAAAATTCAAGTTGGTCTGTTCAATGCATTTGGAGCATTTTGACCTCATATAAACACAAAACTCACTGCAAGACTTTAATATGTAGTTTAGATGTCTGTATCAATGGATTATTAGAACATTTGTAACATTTTGAAGAAAAAGAGAACTTTCCCAAACAATTAACTCTAAATGTGATTATTTGTTTATATAACTCAGTTTTCTAGCTAAGATTATCATATCTCATCTCTCTTTATCATGTCAAGTGGTGAAAGGAGTGTATCCTGGCCAATGTAAACAACATATGTTGTTTTCATATGCTTGACTAGGGTACTAATATCCAAAATAAAATTGGTTTATCAGTATGTATGACATTTTGTTCTCTGTGTTGATGATGTACCACCACTCTCCATCTGTCTTCGCCTGCAGGATGAGAAAGCTGAGGGCTTCATCAGCCTCCCAGAGTTCAGAATAGACCGAGCCATAGAGTGCAGACGGAAATTGTGAGTGTCCCTCACATGTCGCCGAAATTACTAATCAAGCACATTTGCTCTCACCCACACAACATGAACCACAAAAACACTAATCAGTCTTCTTCTCCCTGACTGACTGCAGTGCCTTCAAAGCCTGTCATCCAAAAATCAAGAGCTTCTTCTTCGCCACAGATTGTCTTGAGGAAATGAACAGGTGAGTGAGTGGGTATCTTTGTGAGTCTCTGAGTGCATGTTTGTGTCTTAATGTGGACAATAGTTAGATGCTTGGGATGTCACATGTTCATTCATGAATATTTTAACTGAGTAAACCAAGTTTACACAAGGCAACAGCCCACACAACACTGTGCATGAATAAGGCATGAACCTGGCCCTCTGTTGTTAAATGTAGAACTGCGTGTGTGTGTGTAAATATGCGTGTGTGTGTCACGTGTGACCTTGTGTGAGGGAGAGATCGTAGTGATATTTGCAGGAGTGCTATCTGATGAGCTCTAATTATCCACATCTCTCCTCAATAACATGGAGAGATAATTGGAAGAGAGTAATTAACTAGCTATATTTGACTTCCGAACTATATTGGTAGGTTCATGTGTTAAAGTGCTGTTGCCACATTTTCATTTTCATTTGTACATTGTATGTGTGAATAGATGGCATCAGAAAAATGTCTTTATATATGTCTTGAAAATATATCGTGGCTTTTTGGTGCACTTCCATCTGGATTTTCTTAGCTTCTGAAGGCAATCACATAGGAGTTGTAAGTTTCCACTGAATGAAGCCTTAGCTTGACGCTCTAACAATTCCCCTCGTTCAAATCCACAGGACCACTCGGTAAGGTTTAACTGCTTACTTTGACACTGGAAAAAATTGGTACAAAACAATTGTTCATTTCCAGTTATGAAATTTGAGCGAGAATTGTTTATAAGAGAAAGAAAAACAGAGAGGTCAATAAACTGTGTGGAATAAACTGTGTGGTTCCACTCTCCGCTCGCCTGAATCAGCTCTGGTGACGCCTTCAAACCTCCTTCACGTGAAAATAAACAAATAAAAATAATAAATAGATAAACAAATAAATGAGATTTAACACATTTTAAATGATCCATTTCAAAATGAACATTTAAGTGCAATGACAATTAACACTGATTACCAAGCAAATGAAATACAAATAATTATTTATTATAACATATGATATGTGATGAAGTGTTGACAGAAAGGGTGACTGTGTCTGCCCTGAGAAGCAGCTAACTAAATCCCCCCATGGAGTCCAGACACTGGTGGTGGTGGCTGATGACTCTGATGAAATAACGAAGCTGATGAATCTACGAAGACTGGGTGGTGATGGGGCGCATAACAGCAGCATGAATAAACTGAAGGCAGAGAGAGATAGAATCATATTTAAAAAGACAGCGGCAAGATGATAGGCTAACGACGCAAGTGTGTCGCTGTGCTATTGGACAGATGTGACCAGCTGATTAGAACAGCTGATATCATGATTGACAGCCCCTGATAAAGACAGCAAGGAAATTATGCATGAGCATGCGTGAGTGAATGCAGTGAATGCCATTCATTTTCTACAACAGCTGGGTACTGTAGGTTTTAGCTAACATTACTCAAACAAGAGGAAATTCGGGACTATTTTTAGGTGTGGATTAATACACATTTGACGTGCTAGTAAATATCTCTGACAAAATAAACTTGACTCAGAGTAAACTACAGTGCACATGTTCATCCTCATGCAGGAACATATTATCCAGCGCAACAGGGTGGCTCACTGATGTGTTTTCAATAGTTTTTAGACAACAATGGAGCTCTATAGCACAGAGTAATAAGCTACATCAGGCTTTGGATACAGACGCAATACTTGTGAGTATCAATTCATCGTTAATCATGGTCTTTGGAAGTTGCTCCCCGTAGTGCGCACTTCCTAGTATGATGAGTTTCCTGTTCCTCGTGTACAGACTGGGCCTCTATTCTTAGTAGCGACCTTATTATTAGGTGTCTGCAGAGAGTCACAGGACAAGCCGGGAATGTGCAATGGAGACAGACAAAGGGAAGGGATGAGGACAGGAAGCGTGCGTGTAGAGAAAGGATGCCATCTGAGACTCATTGCTGAGAGAGAAAGGAACAGAGGATTGTCACTTCTCTCTTTCTGCATCCATCTCTCTAATTATCTCTATGCTTCTCTCTCCTCATCAGGGGGATGGAGTCAGTTAGACAGATATCAACTGTTAAGAGACACCATTTAAATTATTTAAAGTGAAAGTTTTTTTATTCATCACCTACCATTTACCCAGTATAACCTATCCTCTCCTCTCCTCCTCTCTGCTCCTTTTTTCAAATGTATCCTCTGAACCCTTCTTTCTCCTTACTTCTCATCACATTTGCTCTCTTCCGTTTCCTTTCTTACTATAGGTGGATGAACCGGCTGGGTCTCGCTGCTATTGGCTACACACCAGATGACAAGGTGCCACGCCCCGATGAAGGTGAGACAGATTCACTTAGCTAGATATGACTCACTTTGCCCTTTTTGTCTGTGAATTGCTAACGAGTACATGGGGTCTCTGTTTTTATCTCAATATCAGACTACTGGAGTGAGAGTGATCAGGACGAGGTCGATGGCTCAATGACGCTCAAACAGGAGGGACCCTCATCCCTCTGTGATACTTATCACCGCACACCATCAGTAAGTACACACACACACATACACTCCACATTTTCTTTTGCAGTGTTTCATTCTGATAGAATATTTTATTCCTAAAAGCCCCACAGTTTTCAGAGCTGCATAGACCAGAGCTCTCAGCATTAATAAAACATCAGAGTGTGAGAGTATCTGGTTCGGTAAGCAGCCAAGACCATCACTTCTCTGTGTTCTGCTGCCAGAACTTGTTTACAATCAGACCTCTAGGTGGCGACAGTTGTCACCACTCATTAAACCTCTGACAGATAAACACTGAAACATACTTTTATGCAGAAGATGTTAAGACAATAAATTCCAGTGGCACTGGTACCATGTTATCTCAGTTGAGCCATACAACATGTTATGTCAGTCATTCCTAGAGTTTCTCATTTACCATCTCATTGCTTTTTTGCTCTCATCTTTGGCTCTATTTCTGCCCCTTTATTCTTTCCTGTCCTTCTTCCTTCTCCTTCTGTCTCTCCTTCCTGGCACACCTCCTCCTTCTCCTCATTTTGTGGTTCACATTTTCCTTGTATCTGTGCTCACATTTCTCCTTTCTGTCAACTGCTATCCATCCTTCTCACTCCTCTCCATACTAACCAACCCCCGTCTACCTCACAAACCCTTCAGGCCAACCTCCTTCACAGTTATGACCAGTTGCCCCGCTCAGTCAGTTCCATGAGCCTCATGCGCTCCACTCCGTCCCCACTCCCTCCACCAATGAGTGCCTCCACCTCCCCCATCCCTCCACAGATGGTCTCTTCCACCTCCCCTCTCCCTCTCCAGGTAAATTCCTCTAGCCCCTTCCCTGAGCCAAAGCACGGGCGACATTTCTCCAGTGAGTCCACGCACTCCCACTCCTCGGCCGAGGACCAGCGTGGAGATGGCATGGGCATGGGCACAGGCACAGGCAGCACCAGTACCCACTCGTCAGGCTGCCGTTCTACCCATCGTGAACGGCGCTCCTGGCAGGACCTCATTGAGACCCCTCTCACCAGCGCAGGGCTGCACTTCCTCCAAACGGCACCGGGGGAGAGTGACTATGGAGGCCTAATGGGGAGCATGGTTGGAGAGATGGGGCTGTACGGAGGGCTGGGCAGACAGGGCATGTCCCCGGAGAGACGCAGGCAGGCCACACTTCCCGTACGGAGACACCACGCCGCAGAGAGAGACAGGGAGAGGGACGGGCCCTTCCCTCTGGAGCGAGGTCCACACTCACACAGCCACACACACCGACGCTCTCACAAGCAGCGCAGCCAGAGTCTGCCCAGGAACAGGGACCCGATGCTAGGAAAGCTGTTACACACCTCAGCTCATATGGAGGAGAGGAGTGAGGACGAGGAGGCAGAGGGACAGGCTGCAGATATACTCCAGGGTGAGGATGGTAAGGAAATATGTGAGTTTTACACAAGGAGAGAAGCAGTAGTATTCACAAACACTTTCACAGGGGTGGTTAAGAAAAATCTTATTGGAACAGACTTTTAAGAAGCAAATTAGTCAAAAACATCATAATCTTAATGTGTGGCACAACATGGACCTGGGCAGTCCATGGTACAAAAGATATTTTTATCATTTAGGGAGTGGTGGAGGAAGTATTCAGATCCTTTATGTAACTTTATTCTTTTGGTAGTTCTTCTGGTAGTTTAATTTATAACAGTGGATCATATTTTATAGGCTTACCAGGTAAAATCTTAACCCTAATGTTCTGTTTGGGGTTCCTGGAGAACATCCCCACTGTTTTAGCATCTTGATACTTAGTGACGTTTCTTGATTTTTTATAGAAAATTGCCCATAAACATAATTTTGAAATAAAGTTTCAGAAGTTCGCTACTGTTTTGGATCTCAGAGACCCTAGCTGTAAAACAAGGTTAAGTACAATGGATGTTCATATGTTCTATACCTACCTTACTTTATGGCAAAAAAGTGTATACAAAAATATGAAATATATATATATATATATATATATATTTGTTCATACATAGCCCATGTAACATTAAAAAATGAATATATTTCCTGCTTTGATGAAACAGCGCTGCTTTATGATTGGCACAACCTGGTGGGAATGAGATAAATCTATCTTACGAGACGATTGTCATGTAGAGGAAAAAAGGATTAAATTAATTAATAATTCTGCTTATATACATTTTTTTGGGAATTTTCAACAACCTTCAAAAACGGAAACTGTAGCTTTACCTCCCCCAAGTACTTTTCAAATGAAACAGTCTGAGGAAGGAAAATCTATTTTTTGGTAACCCCTGTTACAATAGTATTTGTATTAAGGAGGCACAAAAAGTGTGGGAACCAGTGATTGTTTGGCCAGATGATGGATGCGGAATCAGCCAATTTTTGTGTTCTTCTCCAATGAGCTTCTTTTATTGTTCTATCTGAAACGGCACTTTTGGGAGACAGTGCTGTTTGGTGGTATTTCTGAAACATTATCAGGATGGTTGCTGATTCATTTTCTGTCAGTCAACTAATGATTGATTAAGAGACAAATATTTCAGCTCTATAATAAACACACCACTGTACATCCAATTGGATCTCACTGTGTCATTCTAGCTGTGAATGTCACTCTTACTGGTCCTCTCCTGGATGTCCCAGACCTGCGGGAGTTGAGAGTTGAGAGCAGAGAGAGGAGGGTGTCGGAGGGAAGGGAGCGGCGGGTTTCAGAAGGACGTGAGCCTGAGCCGTTGGACGGGCTAGAGCAGCTGTACCGGGCCCTGGAGCAAGCTAACGTGACGGCCCTAGGAGACCCAAGACCCTGCAGCAGACAGGAGCTTCGACGTTGTTTCACCCAGAGAGCCAGGGACCCTCTGCTCAACGACAGGCTGCACCGGGTCCGAGCCCTCCGCAGCACCTTGAAGGTAGCACAAACAGAGGATTTAAAGAAGAATTAGATGTGTGAGGATTCAATGTGGTAACTCCCTGGTGCCTCTTTGCTCCCCCCCAGGCCAAAGAGTCCGAGCTGGCAGTAATCTGTGCCCTCCTGGAGGACCCTGGCCTGTGCTCCCAGACCTTCAGAGAGTGGAAGCAGTGGCACAGCGAGCTCTACTCAGACATCTGCCAGCTCAGTCCCGGCACCAACGGCCAGGACGACCTCTCCCCGCTGGGCGCACCTCTCATGACCCACACACACTCCTTCATTGAGACACATGTGTGAGAAAGAGAAGAGAAGCAAAGACTGAACTGATATATAAACACTCATTTACACACGCACACATACACACACAGACACACACACAGTTTTACATTAGCTGAATCCTCTCTCCTGATCACGACTCTGAGCACGCACTCACACAAACACGCCCACAAACACACACACACACACACACACACACAGGAACACACATTGTAAGATGTGTAAATATCATAGAGGGAACAGTCTGAGACCTGCGTGTATGAACTTTTGATAATCCTGAGGACCCCACAGGGTGCCTATTGCATGCCTGAACAGAAAGCATTAATCTTCCTTTGTCTATGGAACTCAGCATAAACTCCACACGCTTGTCGAGCAAAATGGAAAAAAAGGAGACTTTTTAACACGTTTGTTCCTTTGTATTCTCTTGGTTTTGCTATTTTTTTCCTGTTGATTTTAGGGGCAGGGGGAGCTATGTAGCAGCAATACAGAGGAGAATCCTTTTCACCACAGCACTGTACTACTTTTGTACTGATGAACTTTGCACCCAGAGCCACCAGTTCTCCCCCCTTTCTCTCTATATCTTTTTTTTTTCTCTCACTACATATCTTGTTGATTTACAGGGACCTCACTTGTTAATCCAGGCTGATCTGACGGGACAGTGTGGGGAATGTAAGGGCAGTGACTTTTAGTAAGACTGTGAAAGGTAGCCGTCAATGCTGGTTTATCTGTTTTAGATGAAAACAAGAGTCACAAGCATTGAAGGAACCATTGTGCTGGCTAGATGCACACTATTTCAAACTGTGAACTGTTAAAAACACAATGTTATCTGCAGAAGGAGGCTCCTCTGATAGAGTGCAATTCTACAATTCAGTTTGCATTCTCTCTCTCCCTAGTCTTTCTTTCTTTTCCTCTCTATCGCTCTCTTTCTCTCTCTCTCTCTCTCTGTTTCTTTCCATCTCCTCCTTCTCTTTTCTTAATTTTCTACTTTGTTTCCTCTCTCTCTCTCTCTAGTCCTCAAAGACTTGTGTATATGTGTATACTGCTGTGTATACTGATGTAAATGTTTGCGTTCCACTACCACTGTGATATGCTTCTAGGGGTAGCGGAGGGAAGACAGAGAGTATGTATTTGCGTGGGTGCAAAACTGTTTTTTTTTCTCCCCATTTCTTTTTTAAACAGCGAATGCAAGAACTAGAGAGTTCTTTTCAAAGGAGTCACTCACTACAAAGAATGCACTTTCTATATCTCTATCTCATTGGCTGCATCACAGGGTCTATGTCTCATCGGCCTCTTTACCATTGCTGTTCAAAATATCAGGTAAAAGCATTTGCCGTCTCATTTTCTAAAGATTTGTGTACAGTCTACAAATATATTTAAACATAGAAGAATATATAAATCTATTTACGTTTTGTGTCATAGATATAATGTAAAGTATGATGTATTCTATGCCAAGGTTTTGCAGTGTCCCCCTCTTCACTCTGTAGATGCAGGGTGTTTAGCAGTTGAACAACTAGGAGGCAGACAACAACAACCACCATCATTGACAGTTGATTGACAGTTTTTACTGGTTTACATCACGGCTGACCCTTCTCCTGGTGATGTGTTGCATGAGAAAAGGCCTGGGACTGATTTGATTGGACAGGGTAAAATATTGTGGATCATTTGTGTTCTTTTTATTTTATTTTTATTTTTTATCTTCCTCTCATCATTGCAAGATAAATTAGACTTGTAGCGCATGATACATGCAAAAGTACTGTTTAAGAATGACTTTTTATTTATATGTTCATAGATTTGATGTATTCTTTTCTTCATTAGATAGTGTTTAAAGACACACACTGTACAATAACTGAGGGAGGCATTTTTTGCTGCTCAGTTACTTGATCTAATGCAGATCCTCCTTTAGCATGCTACCAGGAGGTTTCAATTTGATGTTTTGGTTTACATAGAAAGACTGACACATGTCCAAAGGCTTCAGGAATCTTACCTGAAAGACCACAGGACAGTTACTTCTAAAAGAAAAGCTATTTTGACATTCCATCCAAGCATATGGTTGATACTGGGTGGTCAAAGACCTCGACACTAAATGGTCTGTAATGTCTGTGAAACTCAGATGAATCATTTCATCTGCAATATCAGGCCAAGGACTCAACGGTGCCCCCCAGTGTCTAAGACTCTGAGAGACATACGTAGCACCTGCTGCATCCAGCACTATCTGTACTTATTCTTCATATTTTACTGTAATTCTTTGAGTGTAGGTTCAGGTTTTCTCATCATATCACACTGTTGTGAAATATCAAACACACCCCAGAGATATAGCTCATGTTTTTTGAATGGTTAATTTGAGAGTACCACAAAGAAACTAAATGATGCAAGCACTTTCCCTGTGCCTCCCAACCCTCTCTTTGGCAACGATGGACTGACTATACTAGCGATCTCACACACACAGCTGTAGAAGAGTTACAATACAGTTGTAGTCTGCAGACCTCTCTACGTTTCTCATCTGTAATGTTGGTCTTCTTTTTCCAACGGCTGCTCTGCTGAGCAGACGACATACTGTAGATTAAGGAGTGCCAGTTATGATTTGTAGACACAGACTGTGTTATCCCTCCCAGATCTTTGTGTGTGTAGACCTGCAGAAACAGGCCGAAAAGGGAGATTCCACTGTGTGTTCTTTCAGGGGTGTACACCTCATGGTACATTGCACAGGTGTGTAAGATGTAAGTTGCACTGCGACATTAAAAAAGGAACATATTGCTCTTTTTCAAGGATAATATTAGCTTACTGTTATTCTGTACATTAAACGGACTAAAGATGATATTAAAAAAGAAAGAAAATGACATTTATTCTTCCTAAAGTAGCCTTTTTTGGTTTCATATATATGAATATATATTACAAAAAATACAGATTGTAAACTTAAGTTGTTAAACTTTGACTTCAATAAACTGAATCCTCTGCACTATGAGCTATGTTCTGTTTATGTGTACATTTTCTTGGATTTAATGAAACAAAATAGAGGTTGTTCTGTGCTTATGTTACCAGGGCAAAGATGACCAGATTTTAAATTAAGGGTAGGGGTCGGTCAACCTACAAACCAAGAGGCCATACAATTATGTTCTATTCCTGCAAGCAAACTGATCCCTTACCTGCTCTCTTCATAAACAAATAACTACTATGGTTAACTAGTAGGCACGTTATGTATCCATCCATGACATCCATCTTTTACCTATAAAGTAGCAGTGATGCAGGTGGGGAGGAGACTTGTGATTTAACACCCTATATGCTCACTTTGTAAGATCACAGGAGGAATGAGGCTATTAACACTGGGTGCGAAGTGGCTGTGTGAATAGCCTCCAGTCCATCACACAACGTTGACACATACAACCATTCACACTTACATTCACACCTTTGCAATTTAGAGTTTTCAGTTCAAATAACCTGCATGCATTAGTATAAAGAGCACGCATGTGTGAGACATGTATTGAAGCATCCAGTGATTCTTCTTTGTTCACAGCTGTTTTTAGGATTCCTATTATAGATTAACCTGTTGTGTAGAATCCCTATACAACAGAGCTTCCCAACCTATGGGTGGTACCCCCACTAGAGGTCGCCAAAGCTTCACAGGGGGTTGTGAGGCTTTCAAGATTTTAAGGCATGCTAGAAAATGTAGAAAATATACACAGTAGGCCTATATCTCAGTGTTTTGTTTACTTCTGTAAAGAAAAGTAATTGTAAAGTAAAAAAATATCTAATAGAACAATGGCCAAGCATCAGGGACAAGAAAAAGTGAATTTGTTAAAAAAACAAATATTTAAATACAGACAGAGAAATTGTATAAAAGGTTCCCCTAAACAGGAACTAAACAGGAAAAAATTAATCCAAATCCCTAATTTTACACAAACCTCTTGCAGTTACAGAGTTCACTGTTTGGATTCATTGTACAGTTTTGAATATGATATTAAATATCCATAGAGCGTGTCACTCAGTCAGGGGTCGTCAGTTTACTAAATGATAGAAAAAAGGTCCTTTAAGGAAAAAAGGGACCCAAAACCTTTTTTGGGACATGTTTCTGGGAAAATTATGTAAATGTAAATAATGTACTACAGTTGCATGCATTATGACTTTGTATGCAATTACTGTATGAAAGTATGAGTATTCTGAAACAAAGGGGAAAGTACCAAATGAGATTCTGAAAAAAAAAATATCACCCACAAAAACACTTAAGAATGACGGTCTGCCTGACAAATTCACACTGAAAAAATATTATTGTCTAGCACTTTATGTTAAATAACCGCCTCACTTGTACATAGAAAACTTCCCACGTCCATAAGCTTCAATTTGATCTCAAGATGAACTTTCTATCTTGCCAATTACACTTCCTCTGCAACAGTTAAATCACTTTCATCATCAAATTACTTTAAAACATGGAGAAAAAAAAAGAAGGAAGACATATGTTGTTGTTGTTTTCACATTTGAATTACAGACATGCAAACTGACATTACAACCTTCATGACCAGTATAGCTTGAGAACACTGTGTGAACGTACCTGCTGAATGAGATCCCATAGTACCAGGCGGTTGCAGTCCAGTAGGGAGCAGTAGCTGACCGTGGTTTGAACCACTCGCTGCTGCGTCTGAGCGTCCAAAGAAGAAGGAGGAGCGCTGTCATGGCGGCCAAGGTGAATGCTTGACATTTTCTCGTCGCTAAAGTTTTGTTTTTGTGCTTTGACGTGTGTGTTTTCAGTGAATGCGAACTGACTGACTTTCTAGGCTTTTAATGTAACGCCGAGCTGCATGAAAATAGCTCTGCTGACTGCGTTAGCGTCGTTGAATGAGTCAGTGTGCAGCGTTGTGCTACGTTAGCGGGCAGCAGCGTGAGCAGGACTCCCAACCATTAAATGTCTCGTAAGCGTGTCTGACAGCTGATATGTCTTCATATTTACAAGCCCTCGTGTCGTTAGCAGTCCACATCGACTGCTTTTAACTCATTTTGCAACCGTATGACCACTGTTAACGTCAGTGAGCTTAGTTTGAGGCTGTTGCAAGTAAGCCACAATATCTAACCGTGTAGTTACACATATTGTATAGTAAGTTATACATACTGTGCTGTTATGTACACTAATGCAACATAATCTGTGTCAGTGGTGACCAACAACGAAACACATTAACTTAGGCGATGTGTTTAAGTGCGATTTTTGAGGTATTTCTGCCTCCTCTAATGTTACATTTAATGATAGCTAGCAATATAATGAGTATTTTGCACGCCAAACATACTATTAATGTTTAAAATGTGACGCATGTTAGACATAAAAGTAATAGAGTACACAACATTCAGCCTCACGTGTCAGTCCTTCAATAATAATCATTGCTTTAATGTGATATAGCTGCATCATCATACAGCCACACTGGGTAAAGAGCAGTTCTGGATAATGGGTACTTTAATATATTATTATATTTAATATTGTCATACTTATGCACTTTTACTAAGGTGAAATCTTGCCTCCAAATACCTCTTGTTATTGAGTTATTTTTAACATTGTGGTTTTCCTTCTTTTACGTATGTGAAGCGTCTACCTCCTCCAGCACTTGTCCACATGAGTCATGTGCCTATTAGTGATTAGTTTCCGTCAGTAGTTTGCATTGTTGCCATGAGCTGACGGACACTAAAGTTTGCACGTGCTTTTATTGTATGCTAGGTGGTGATAGTGGCCGTCCCGACGGTGCTGAGCATAGCCTCCATCCGCGTGTACACTGTGAGGGAAGCGGCCACTGATGGGCTGGTCACACGAGAGAAGGTATGGCTGTCCCGAAACATCAGCAGATCTGGTAGGAGGGAACTCATTGCTATTCGCCGAAGTGTTACACGCGTCATAATTACATCCTGATTCTCCCTCTGTCCCCAGCTGAACATCTACACCCCCCTGCCACAGTCTGCCCAGCCTCATTTTGCTCCAGAGAGTCCAGGTGTCATTCAGAATGGGTTAACTACAGCGAGAGAGCGCATACAGCCATTTTTCCAGGCTGTAAAGGTATCTAGATTTTGCTGTGTGTATCTACAGTGTTAACTCACACTTATTTTCACATCCTCTCTAACACGAAACGGAAAAACACCAACCCTTTGACAGATGAATATAGGTGTTACATAAATGGAACACCAGCTAAAACACATCGAAGAGTTCTTATCTTGCACCTGCACTTTTTAGTTTTTCAACCCTGATTTTTTATTCCTCTTGTTTGCGGTTACAGAGCACAATCCCACGTGCTGCAAATGCTCTGTGCAGGTACGATTTTGCAAACAACAATGTTAAGGAGTCAGACAGGAAATAGGGTTCACGTAGTTAACGCTGCAGCTGTAAGGTTTTGCTGCAAGGAGATTTGACAGTTTGATACTGTAGAAGATGGGGGAAAAAAACCACTTCACACTGACTCAGATGTATCCGTTTCAGTATTGTCTAGGTAGTTGTGTTCTTTCTGGCCTGTTAGTGGGTGATTTCAGCTCTGTTCTTTGTTCCCTGCAGGGGGCCTGTGTCTCTGTGAAAAAGGGAACTGTTAATCTGTACCATGCAGGAGAGGGTGAGTCAACAGTAGGCATTTTAAGGTGTCATACATAACTAATATTCCTCCACAAAACTCAAAATTTGAATCCCTTCCCTTCATTACAAAGCGTTTAGATGGAATAATGTAATACATATGATACATTATTACATATATTACCTCCACAGGGATTTTTACCTCACAGGGATGTGTTTTAGTGACACCCTATAAAGAAATCATATAATTGCAAGACAAATTAGGAATTATGACTGTCCATGTTTCTCTGTGGCATTTGTTATGTCCCCAACCCTTAGAAAATATGCAACAAAAGCTCTACATAATGGTAATGTTATTATTATTATTATGCTATGGTCACCGCTCTTACTGTTACTACTGTTAGTGTAGTAAATAATCTCACAATATGAGCAGAGGGTCAGACAACAGTTCAAAATTGAATATTTGTCATCATGTTGACTGTGTTCCTGTGTTTCCCAGATGTGTACTATTACTTGAAAGACCCTCCCCCAGAGTTTCTACCCAGATTTGGTACCATCACCATGGCTGGCCTACTTGGCATGTTCTTGGCAAGGAAAGGTAACCTAATCTCTAGTCACTATAAAACTAGCATAAATGGTCATATAGAGTCATATCAGATCACACAATTATATGAAATGATTATATACCCTTCATGACATGTTGACTTCACTATACATATGCCAACAATTTAAGCACCTGGGCTCATTATTATCACATTTTACCACAAATGTACAATTTCAGGTTTTCTGACATCTGTTTTCATTTAACAGATTTAACAAATGCATTAGTTTAGTGTCATCCTTACACAAACAGTCATAGCCTGAACAAACTTAAAGTAAATGAGACCCAAAAAAAGCGTTTGATACTGGGTGTTGTACATACACAATTTAGTTGATGCTCAAAGACTCCCTCACTCAGCCCTACTGTATGTAGACCATCTGTTGTAATCAAAGAATGTTGTTTCCTTTCGTAGGCAACCATCTAATATTCCCCTTTGTACTATTGTAAACTGGGAGATAATGGATGGTTTTGTACGAATTTTCTCCACAGGAAATCTAAACATTCAATATGTAGTAATTAGATGTATCACCATTCTATTTGAAACAGGCTGTTTAGCATTGATATAAAAAAAAGGCACTGCCGTGAGTCCCTTGCAATATCATAGCGGTGTGCATGTTAGCTTAGTGCTTCTATAGCAGCTGTGTGGTAATGTGAATAACAGCAGCAGAATATGAAATTGTGTAAATATTGTATACCATGTGTATTTAGGATACGAGTCTTTGCTACTGTTTTATATGAAGCATGTTTAACCTGCTTTTGACCCAGTGATAAGAGAAAGTTCACAGGTTATTTAAGTTTCACTTACTTCTAAAACCACAGAGGTAAGAAGTAAGGAACGAAGTTTCTCTTTCAGTTTTCACAGAGCTCTTTGTTATTTGTCTAACTCTGTCTATGGGGGAGTCAGTTAAATGACATTTAAAAATTAATATTAATAAATGAATTCATTCCTTATATACACACCTGTTCCCTAAACCTAACAATGATTGCCATTGTTCATTGTGATTTTAGGCTCTCGTTTCAAGAGGGTAGCCGTTCCAATGGGCCTGATGAGTGCAGGAGCTTCAGTGTGCTACCCAGCCCAAGCAGTGGCCGTGTTAAAGGCAAACACTACATTTTCAAAAGCTGATCCCTCTTACAAACCTCAATATTTCACAGTTTTTATCACTATTATTGTCTTTTTCTCCCAAGGTGACGGGTAAGAAGGTGTATGCTGCAGGGCAGTGGAGCAGCGCTGCGGTGTCTTCACTGCTCACCCCCAAGCCCCAGGAGCCTGTCGCCAAAGAGATTGCTGCTTCACTACCACAGGTTAACAGTCATATTGAGTTACTGAACAGATTTATTACCATTATTATGCATGTCTGTAACCCACTACTTTTGAATGGAAAGTACTTTAAAGCTGTCTGACTAAAACCAAAACAGCGGTTCAGTGGTTATAAACCCTTTTCCTACTGAACAATTTCCACTCTGCACTTCACTCTTTACTTTCTCTACCGCACTTTGGCCTTCATGATGATTGTTGTGTGGCTTTTACTTTTCTCTTTGTGCTTCATACATAGTCATTAGGAGGTTTTTGTGATCTGGAAGTTAACACTTATACCAGAGGTTTTCAAACTTGGGGTCCTTGAGTGGGTTGTTGGGCGTTTCCAGCTAAAGGAGGAATAGAGTATTTTAACATTTATTACAGTTGTTACAATATTAGTATCGGAAATTCCTCCAATACAGCCTAAAATGCAGGATGGGGTATCTGTGAATACACGTTTGTGCAACGATCTAATACCACGTTATTTATGAGCCCCAAAATGGGACCTTTCTACTTCCAAGCCATGTCCCTTTCTACATATTTCCTTCAGGATAGCGAAATTGTGACCTGCCCTACCCTGACTCTGACTGACAAATGATTGAACCTGAGTCAAACCATACAATGATAGAAATCATACAATCTGTACTTAGCATCCTTGGTGCAATGTGCAACATGTCTTTGGCATGAAAAAATCTGGGCTCCCCCTGGCTTATATTGCTGTTGAACTACTCCGTAATGCCAGCAATATGCCTGAAATGTAAAATGTTAATATAAGCAATTACATTTTTTCTCTCCAGTGTAATAAATCTAACCTATTAGAACTGAAATGTTCAAGAAAATTGTAAAGCTAAGGCTTTATTCTGTTTGTAGATTACATGTAACATGTGTCCCTGACAAGTACAGTTTTAGTGTGATTAATCAAATGGTGAAATTCATAATAATCTTTTAATATAGAATAACGAATGTATGTCTTGGTTGAACAGATTTAAATCTTGATTTTTTTTATCCACATGTTGTTAGGCGACTACAGTGCTAAATCCAGAGTCTTCAGTAGTTGAGGAGGCCTCAGAGGCCAGCTCAGCCTCACACAGCTCAGCCCAGAGCTCTACAATCCCCGAGACAGAGGTGGAATCAGTTGAGTCTGTTCCTGTCTCTGATGAGCCAATTGTTGCTGTCGTAACAAAGGAGGCTTCATCAGTAACATTCGCAGAGATATCCCCCGACCAGACCCCTACAGAGACCAACACAGGTATTACAGATATTGATCTCTGTCTGGTTCCTTCTCTGTCTCCATGTCTTTTGTTTCAGTCACATAAAGGCTTCTGCTGATGATTTACTGTATTTCCTCTTCTGTCCAGATCCAGTGGCACATGCAGTGCAAGCAGAGACCGAAACCACCTCAACTCCTGAGGAAATACCTGCTTCTATTGAAAGTGAGGAGCCCTCACAGGCAGCAAAGGATGTCTCCACCGACACCAGCCCAGCCGAGTCCACGCTGAACTTAGAACCGGAGACAACAGAGTCTGCTCCAGTGGCTGTTGTTCCAGTGGAGGTTGCTCCAGTTGAGCCAGCTCTAGACGAGTCTGCTCCAGCTGAGTCTGCT